GCATATTGCACACAGCACCTGAGGTTTGTTACAGCACCCTGTGTATGGCACATTGGGCTGACTGGGCAAACCTCTTGATGTACCTTTTGAACCTCCATGACAAGTGCTCACTCCATCTCAAAAGTTTTATCATGTATGTGTACATGACAACAAAAACTGTAAAACTGGATGCTTACTTTATTGTGTACATGTATGTGATGACTACACATTCGACCTACCATTTGTTTGTTTATCACAGATGTGTTGGCACAAAGTAAAATCTGACTCTACCTTGTTTTGTGTCAGTGCTCCTCCTCAAAATGCACCTTGCTTTTGCTTTCACCCCCTCCATCAATTCTGTAATCAGTGGTCAACATGCTGCCCTCACTTCCAGTTCATGTACAACCTCACACCATATTCAGTCAGTTGCACACATGCACTGAACTTCATTCTTCACATTTGTGCTGAATTAGAGCACTATTCCTGAAGTTAAAATTCCACTCCATTTCACACTGCTAAAATCACTTTTAACTCCACAAATTCCAAGTTTTTATGAAATCATTTTCATCTCAAGTCTCTCAATATCACTTATATGCAGCAGTCTAGCATGTCAAAATCACATGTGCAGCTCCAAATCTTCAAAACTGCCCTATAAATCAAAAATGTCAAATCTCACATGATTTTAGCACAACAAAAATTCCAGTCATTTGTGACCTCTCATTTCAAATGACTGCAAGTTAAAGGTCCATCTCACACTGATAAAATCACTTTTAACACCACATTCCAAGTTGTTATGAAATCTGTTTCAACTCAAGTCCCTCAATATCACTTATCAGCAGCGGTCTAGCATGTCAATATCAAAGATTCAGACCCAAATCTTCAAAACTGCCCTGTAAAATCTAAAATGTCAAATCTCACAATTGTAGCACAACACAAATTTACAGTCATTTTTGAGCTGTTTATTTTGGTGTATTTTCAAATCTGTATCTGTAATTTGACTTGGCTATTTGTAGCTCTGCAAATATGAACTTACATTTGCTCTGGCCACAGGTTGAGGTTGGATTGCTCTAGGTTTTGATGGTGCTGCTGGTTCTCTGGTAAAACAGGATGTTTTTCATTGGGGAAACCAGCAAATTGAAAAACAAAATACAAACAGTCATTTATTCACTCATACCTCATCTAGCCACAGCTTACCATTGGTTAGGTTTCTGCCTTCACCACCTGTTGCAGGTTGGGGACTTGGCCTGGGTATGCCGCCAGCCCAGACAAAAAAAGGAAAG